AGGGTTTTGAAAAAGAAAAAAGTAATTTTTTTCGTTTTCTTTCTTCATTTTCCAAAAACATGTTGCAACAAATGAGATCTGCAAAATACTTACCATGCCCCTTAGCAAATACCTTGGAGCGTCTACATTCCAAAAAGGGAAAGAGAAAAAAAAGGTGGCTGTTGTAATTTTTTTTATGTCACACAATGTTTGCAAAACACACATTTTTTGGAAAAAATACACTTTTTTAATTGTAACCACTTGCCCTCTGGAGGATTTACCCCCCTTCATGACCAGGCCATTTTTGCGATACGGCGCTGTGTTACTTTAATTGACAATTGTGTGGTCATTCAAAGCTGTATGTAAATGAAATGTATGTTCTTTTTGTCTCCCAAATAGAGCTTTCTTTTGGTGGTATTTGATCACCTGTGCGTTTTTTTTATTTTTTGCACTATAAACAAAAAAAAGGACCAACAATTTTGAAAAAAACAAACTATTTTTGACTTTTTGTTATAAAAAATATCCAGTAAAAAAATTTAAAAAATAAAATTTCATCATAAATTTAGGCCACAACGTATTCTGCTACGTCTTTGCTAAAAAAAAAAAAAAAATCCCAATGTAAATTAATTGGTTTATGTGAAAGTTATAGCATCTACAAATGGAGGTTTATATACCTTTTTCTTCTTTCTTCTTTATACTAGTATTGGCGGCAGTCAGCGACTTATAACGGGACTGCAGTGAGCATTCTGACACTGGAGGAAGCTGACTAACTGCCACTGACATCCCAATGACAGTAATACAGCGCTCAGTGCTAATAAAAAGCACTGACACTGTACTACTGACACCGGGCAGGAATTGGTTAACATCTGGGGCAATCAAAGGGTTAACTGTGTGCTTTTTATTTGGGAAACATGCTGCTGTGTATTTCTCTGCTGTGTAGAAAAATGCACAGCAGCATGTTACTGCTGGCAGGAGAGAGACCTGTGTTTACACAGCGGTATTCTCCTGTCAGTGATGCATCTGTGAGGCTAATACCAGGAAGTGTGAGAAGCAAACCCAGGGAGCTCTGTGGAGGGAAAAGTCCACCTTACTGCTGAACCGAACCCGTCGATTGGACTTCCGTGATGACAAGGAAGTCGCCATCTTAGCCTCTGATTGATACGCCATTGCCATGGTGATGACACCGGCCTGAAACTTTGGCTGTTTTGGAAAAGTTGATCAATTGGTTTCATTCAACTTTCCAATTTTCTGCCCCCAGAGCTGCATTTCTCCACCCCCCCCCCCCACCTGCATTTCTGGCTTGCAGGACATCATCCCTGTACAAGGACAGCCATAACTGACTGTGAGTTGCAGGTTGCTGACTAATAAAGTTCATCTTTAAGTGCGGGAATGTTGTTTAGTACACTGTTGGAGGCTAAGAAGGAGTTTTGGAGTGGCTGCTGTTTGATTACATCTGTGCCTCAACCTCCCTAGCGGTCTGATTATGTCAGTATTTCTGTGCTCAAAGCGGTACATTTTTTTTGCATGGAAATATGTCGTTTTTTTAATATAGTCCTGTAATTTTTAGGAATAACTCACTGAAATCTGTCCGAACAAGAATCTAGTAAACATCCCGGGTAGGATAAAATTTGAAACACAAAATCATAAATTATAATATAATAATCATAAAAAAAATAATAAATTTAATTCAATAATGTAATCAAACCAAAAACACTGAAATTTGAAATAGAGAGCCAAGTTCGCACATCACTGAGCTTAGTCGCAAAATCGTTTTCAGTGTCTGATGACGAATTTCCCCACGAATCATCACTCAATTCTGCAAGTGGTTCTAATTTACTATCACTGTTTTCTAGCTGGTCTAAATCTGCTTTTGACCTAAAGGGCCGCTTTTTGGACGCCATGGACTTTTCTCAGTTTCCAGACAGAACAGTAAGAATGCAGGCAGGGCACAGGACAAAGCAGTAGGGACAAAATGTATGTGAAATGGTTTGATACAGTAATGTTTTACTATGTTATTTTAGTGTATTGCGTGAATGTCATTTTTAAAATTTTTGACGCTCGCAGGGAATGGAACCCAGAAGACGGATGCCGGCATCGGCTGGAGGAGTTGGCTGGGGACGCTGCAGGGGGGACATCACAGGAGTGTAGCTCGGGGTTACCGCTTTTGGTACTGAAAGTTTACCCCGAGCTACACTCGGGAATACCGCCAGGGAGGTTAATTGACCATTCTGTAACATGATGGTCAATGCTATCTAGTAAGCCTCCTTTGAGTACTGAGTGGGGTGACGTGCTGTATTTGGATACACTTGTTAATCTTTGTCATGGAAGACGCTGGATTTGATTGATGGACATTATTTATATTGTGTCTGTTTGGCACTGGGACTGATTTGATCACATTTTTGTGTTTATTTGGTCACCATTCACATTATTGATTTATTTTTGGTTATTTTAGCACTGCACCTCCATATATAAGGGTTAAATGTGCTAATCGAACGCCTGTGTGTAAAATATAGTGCTTTTACTCAGTGTGGTATTCTCCTCTTCTCTCCCTGGAGTGGTGGGGAGGGGGGGGGGGGTGCACACATGCGTGCTCACACCCAGAAATAGAAAGTGACTAAGGGTAAGCCACTTTGCCAAGAGATGCCACTCTGCAAGTAAAAAAAAAAAAAGTTCTCAATGTGTTAATTTATTTCTGGTTTAATACTTTCATCAAAGTCGTTCAATGTTACCATAGTAGCATTGTACCACTTGGGGCAGGGTGGGTGATCAGGATCTTTTTTTTTTTTTTTTTTCATTGCAGGATTATTACTCCTGCAATTAAATGCTTGCTGTGAACTGTCACTTTGAACTGTCATGAATGGGTTTATTTATTTCAGGTACTTATATAGCGCCGTCAATTTACGCAGCACTTTACACATATATATTGTACATTCACATCAGTCCCTAACCCTCAAGGGGTGTACAATCTATGGTCCCTAACTTACATTCATACATACATACATACATGTATTAGAGCCAATTTAGACAGGATCCAATTAACCTGATGACAGTTTAATAGTGATGGTGCTGTGATTGGCCCATGTACCATATGAGAGTTTTGGGCCAATCACAGCTCACCAGGAAGAGATGCAAAGCTGTTATGAATCCGGTTCATTCATACCGCTTTGCTAACATTGTGAGCACATAGTGATGACATGATCACTGGGTCTCAATTAACGGGATCCGCATTCTGCTGTGTCCATTGTGCCCCTGTGTTGGTACAGCAACATACCAGAATGTTGCTGTGCCTGTAGAAGGCAAGCAAATGGAAAGTAGTTAAATCTTTAAAATACAAACATGTAGGCCACCACAGTATTACAGAACAATACACACAGTACATAAACATTTCATATTCTGTCATCAGCGCTCTCTCTCCAGCATTATTTACATTTCTTCTCATCTCTTTCATTTGGTGGGGGGGGGGGGGGAGAGAGCAGGCCTCAGTCGGTAGTAACAATGAATTTAGTGGGTTGAAAAATGCACCACTTTGGGTTCCATGAAACGTTTTGGAAATTCATATAAATAAAAAAAGATGACTGGGATCCTTACTTTTTTATATATTTATAAACAATATATGGTTTGGGATTAAAAGAACCATTTCAGTCTTTGCAGATGACACTGAGCCTTGCAATGGAATAACATCCCTACAAGATGTCTCCAATTTACAAGCCGATCTCAACGCACTGTTTAATTGGGAAACTATGTGGTCAATTCACTAAGAGATAAATACCACATGAATGTTTTAGTTAAAATAACTCATGCAATATTTATCTCAAAAGTAGTCAATTCACTAAAACACATGCGTTATTTACAAAATGTGTTAAATATTTGTTTTGCGATATTTAGCACTTAAATTTTGCGTCCTTTTTGGTTTTGTCTTTTCACAATTTAGTTTTTTTTGAAGGCTAACACTGCACCAAAAGGCACATCGTAATATTGTTCCTTCACAAAATGATCTCCCTGTGATGAAATGTTACAAATTATTTTCATTCCTCAGGTCAGAGGAGAACATTTTCACACTGATACTTCTCACTTTCTGGCAAGTACAGAATTTCTCTAATTATTTTGTACATTTCTAAAATACCGCCAGCAAACACCCCGTGATAAATAACAAAGGTGTGTGGTTTTTTAGCAAATAGACTTTAATGATTTACCTCATGTTTTGTGGCGGTATTTATCTCACTATTTTAACAAATGTGCGGTATTTACCTCACATTCAATATTTTACTTTGATGAATTGACTCTTATTATCTCATGCGATATTTCAGAAAAATGAGTCACGTGACCTGCATATTGCATGCGGTAACCTTTAGTGAATTTACCCCTTAGTGGCTAATGAGGTTTAATGTTGATAAATGTAAAGTTATGTACTTGGGGGTTAAGAATATGCATGCATCCTGTCGATCGTGGTCTACCTGTCGACAGGTAGATCATGAATCTGTCCCCCCCCCTTCCCCCATCCTCCTCAGCTGCTGTCATCCTCCGGAGAGTGGAAGACAGCAGTGCTTAGGACGGATGTATTTGCAAATGTGTGCTAATTTGGTCTGTTTGCAAGCTGGCTCGAAAGTTGAGCTGGGAATTTTTCTCTTTTATTGTGTGACATGCGTCGCCCTTCCATGTGCTCTTTAGGCCAGTTATAGACTGGGGCAGTGGCCATTTTTGTACTGTTGACCTGTTGGTGAGGGGGCCCACTGGACACATTCTGGCAGCCATTGTGCTATATTTTGGGTGTCTAGTGCACTCCTGTACCTTTTTAAGGAGGGGTGGGCTCCTTTAGATTCACCTGCCCTCAGTCTATCCATTAACCGCCTCCCGCCTGCCATATAGTACAATGGCGGGCGCAAGGCGGTTCTCTCGTTCTGGCAGGACCACATATGACATCCCCCCATTCTAACCGCGCATGCGCGGTTCTCTGGGAGCGCACAGCGAACAGTGGTGCGCTGTGTCCCTTGGACACAGCAGATCACCGATCAATGGAAAGAGCCAAAAATGTCGGCTCGGTCATGTGATCAGCTGTGTCCAATCACAGGTGATCACATGTAACAGGGAAATGCCGGTTATCAGCATTTCTCTCCTCACGAGCTGTCACGCTGACAGCTCGAGAGGAGAGACAGTGATCGGCATTCGGAGGGGACATCAGGGAACACTGGCGATCAGTGTGCCCTGATGATCTATGTAGCCCCAGCAGTGCCACCTATCAGTGCCCATCAATGCCACCTGCCAGTGCCCATCAGTGCCACATCAATGCCACATATCAGTGCCTATGAGTGCACATCAATGCCGCATATCAGTGCCCATCTGAGCTGCCGGTCAGTGCCACCTATCAGTGCTGCCAATCAGTGCCACCGGCCGGTGCCTCATCAGTGCCACCTATCAGTGTCCATCAGTGCAGCCTATCAGTGCCCATCACTACAGCCTCATTAGCGCACATCAGAAGGAGAAAAATCACTTATTTACAAAATTTTATAACAACTTTTTTTTCAAAAATTTTCAGTGGTTTTTGGTTTAAGAAAAAATAAAAAACCCAGAGGAGCTTAAATACCACCAAAATAAAGCTCTATCTGTCTCAAAAAAAAATAATTTCATATGGGTACAGTGTTGCATAACTGCGCAATTGTCATTCAAAGCGTGACAGCGCTGAAATGCTGAAAATTGGCTTTGGCAGGAAGGGGGTATAAGTGCCCTGTAGGCAAGTGGTTAAATACATGTGCCTCTACTGTGGGGGCTCTCAAAATTTGTAGAGTTAGGAACTGCAGAATATCGGGGTGTCATGAAGAGGCTGCAACTTGCGCTTTTATTTACGAATGTGTGCTAACTAAACCCCTGTTTTTAATGCATGCTATTAGACAGGCCAATTCGGGTTGTTTGCAAGCTTGCTGGTAAGTTGAGCTGGGAACTTTTCTCTTTTATTATTTGGCATGTGTCACCCTTCCATGTGCTCCTTGCTGTGAAGGCCAGTTATAGACTAGGGCAGTGGCCATTTTTTGTGCCACCAGCATATCGTCTCCTCAGTCCAGCCAAGCAGTAACTAAAGATTGACTTCTGTTGAAGGCCACAGATGGCCACACATACATACTTTACTGGCTGCAGGATTCTTTAAAGTTAATTTCTCACTACATAGCTCTTTAATTTTTTTTATTTTTTATGGCAGTGTACTGTAAGTCTGTCCCTGTTATTACAACTTATGTAAAAAGATCTGATCATAATTTTGGAGCTGTTCAGTTAAAAAATGCCTAGAAGTTCACAAGCTGTCCATCAAAGTTTTACATGCACTAAATACTGTAGGTGCTACTTGTCCAGACTGTAAGGAACACAGATTTAGGTTTAAAGAATTACTGTGGGTGTCTGTATTTTTTAGAGCCTCTTTTTGTTGTTTTCAGTAGAAAAAGAACATTTTCCCTGGCTCCTGAAGTATCTGCTGGCTTTCCACCCCTACCCTGCCTGATTATTGTGAACAACAGCTTGAAGCGGCCTTGCACAGAAAAAATAACAGTGTCTGGGAACCATAACATTTGCTGGCAAATCTCTTTTGATAGTAGACTATAGATTTTATAGTAAATGTTCAAACATTGTTCTATGAAATGTGCTAACACATTGTTATGTTATTGTTATATTGGGTAAAAAATGCTTTGTTTGTGCTGTTAGCATTTTTGTTTCCAAGGTGTAATGGGAACAGTAGAGAGAGAGCCAATCTTTACAACATTACTGTGGTTTTGTTTTTGTTTTATCTGCTGTATAGAAGACGTCTAAAAACATTTTTCTGCTGCCATAACCAATGTACACGCTGCATTATAAAGTAATATTGATTTTGACTGCATTCCTCCAGCCCCCGAGAGGACTACTTAGAAAGTATATAGCAAAATGTGAGATCTTTCAGTAATGGCTGACCCAGTGCTGAGTTTGAATATTTTGTCATCAAGCTTGATCATATAACATCTTAAAAGCAAACTGATTTTGTTAAATCTTTGATTACTGGTGAATTCCCAGATTAATGAATTAAGATTTAATGTTTTCTAGAATTTAAATAGGTAAATTATATATAATATTATAGGACACTGAAATATTTGGTAAACAATACAGAACACTAATATTCAACAAACTATATTTAAACACTAAAATATCATATCGTGTTTACTGGAATTTTTGCAGTTCTTTTTAGGCCTCATTCACACCATGGTGCAGAGACCTCAGTTTTTCTGCATGCTTTCTGCGAGGGCACAACAAAATCAGATTTTCTCTATGTGCTCTTTTCACACCACAACATTAAAATCACATGCAGATATATTTCTTTCCGTGTAGGAATCTGCAATATGTGTAAAACTTATTGAATCATGCATGAAAACTGATGTAAACTGGCATCTGTTTTTCTGCACGTATGGTGTGAATGAGGCCTTAAAAATATTTCAAACTACATCCTTCATCTCTTGATCCATCCATGAAAGTCCTCATCCAAGCACTACCTGTTGTAGGATGACAACCCTTTCTCATACACCACTCCTAATTGAGAGTTGTCATTTTGTCAGATGTTTCAATATGATAGGCACAGGCTGATGTTTTTTACAGTAAGGAAAATTGCCTGGAGGAATGCTAGGCAGCCATTGCTGGGCTGCATGCATGTAGACAGGAAGTGACTGCAAAGAGGCTGCAGGAGATCAGCTACACTGAAATGCAGCAAATTAGTATAAAAGGGAAAAGTATACCTTAATTTTACAGTACAGGACACAGGCTGGGTATTCATAGAGCCTGGGATATAGGGTGGTTTCTGCAGGTAAATGGATTCTGGAAAATCCTTACTGGATATGTCCCTCTGAGTGTCACCTTATAACCCTTCCACACTGTGAGTACTCAGTTGTTTGCTAGTGTGTGTTTAAGGTGATGGACCTCTTCTCCCCTTGTAGAAACCATTTGCTTCATAAGTTTATTATTTTACTTCAGATTCTTCATTCAAATCTGCATTATCTTCTAATTCAACATGAGAAGCAATGCATCTGGTGTTCTGTCCCCACATGAAGGCGAATGAAGGTATGAAGGTAATCCTACTGATAATGGCTGTGTCCAAACTTCCTGAAACCTTCCTGAGATACAATACTGCTAACTATCTTTCCTGAGGCTAACTGTTGGTCAAAAACTGATGCCTTCACAAGCCCAGGGTATTGAATGTCCTGTCACACAGCTATAAAGCACATAAAATGGCTGCAGGAAGTGACCAGAACCAAGGTTTGCCTAAAACCACGCCCAGCAGAGAAAAAACTTTACTAGCAAGAACAGAGGCATGCAGCATGCAAATTCTGGCCAGCAGATGGCAGCAACAGATCAATACATAGAAACAAACCTGGTGAAAATAAGAATTGGTGATACAATGCACAGTTAAATAGCAAATATGAGGAGAACAGCACATCTGGATCTGTGCAAACTTGATGTAACATTGGGAGCTGTACCTGGATCACACACAACGAGGGGTGACCTGTAATGTTGCTTCAGACACTGGCACCTGCTTGGCTGGCTCACCTCTGTGCTTGGTTTGACGTGTGTAGCTAGCCACACACCATATTCATGAACAAATAGAATGGGCAATTTATGACAGCTGGGTTAACCCTGAAAAGCTTTTCAACCCTTTTTTAAATTATTGTCATGCTCTATCCTGTGGAAGAAGAGTTCACTAGGAAGTTGTCTGTTCTGGTAGTAGACTCTGCCATCTTCGTACTTAACATCTTACTGTGCCTAAAATTATGTTCCTTCATTTTAAAGATTCTACTGACAGAAAATTTAAGATACTTTTAGGACCACTCTTTAAACTTCACAAGCCAAGACCTGCAACCATCTATTGCTGCAATTTCTGTTTGCAGGACTGCAGATAATTGGATTAGGACAGTGTATAACCAGCAGGATCCAGTATTCCTGGATTGAACCTTGAGAGAGCACTTGTAGACGTCCTTACTTCTATGTGTTCATGCCCTAGAACAAATCATGACAAATCTCCAGACAGGCAGTCATTTCTGTCCATATGCGCAAAATCTTATGCCTGAAGGGCTGGACAGCTGAAGTTGCTTGCAATATTCACCAAGTGTACGTCCTTTGAAGTAGGAGGTCTTTTTGGTGAGGCGCTTGAGAATTTCATCTAAGATGTCACAGGAGGAAAATCACTTATTCCACAATGGAAGGTTCCTTTAAGCCGGCCATACACGGACTGAAATTTGGCTGGTTCAGCAGTGACCGGTTGAGATTTGATCCATTGATGGGCAGGCTGATTGTGCTCAAGTTGATCCATCGATACATCCAGCCTGTTGGATTTTTCTACATGTATTTACTACCAGTGGCTATAGCCACTACCACTAGTCATTGTGTTTTCACCAGCCGGAAAACACAATGTTCATTATTGCCTTTATAAGACAAAAGGAATACTCCGCAGAAATAGACATCTAAGATGCTAATTTACATATTTCCATTTACTCTTCTCACCCAGGGCTTATTTACAGTAGGAGACAAATTTTTCTGATTGGTCTCACTGCCATTTGGCTTATCCTCTGCACCCAGTGTAATCACTAAGGTCCTTGCTCCTCTTCTTCTCCTTTTAAGAACTTTGTGCATTCAGGTAACAAAGGTACCTAGAAAACCTTCTTCTGAAGAACTCCTCTTCCTTTGAACTAACTGCAATTGTCAAAAGGACTATTCAGATGCTTCTGGCTTTTGGTTGCGTAATCACCTTTTAAAAGTGTGCTCTCTAGGTTTCCCAATACTCAGGCCTCATTCTGGGCACAGCCCAGGCCAAAGTCTTTCTTCCAGAAAACAAAAGTTACAGTGGTCTAAGCTGGACTGATGTAACTATGTATAATACAAGCACACCTAGAATTCCTCTTTAAACAGAGCCTTTGGTTGAGCTGTGGTGTAGAAATCTGCAACATGTCTACAGTTGCAAGAAAAAGTATGTGAACCCCTTGGGATTACGTGGAGTTTTGCATGAATTGGGCATAAAATGTGCTCTGAACGTCATCTAAGTCACAACAATAGAAGAACACAGTCTGCTGAACATATTACACAAACATTAGATGTTGCCATGGTTTAATTGCACATAACATGTAAACATTCACAGTGCAGGGAGGAAAAAGTATGTGAACCTTTGGACTTAATAACTGGTTGACCCTCCTTTGGCAGCAATAACCTCAACCAAACATTTCCTGTAGTTGCAGATCAGACCTGCACAACGATCTGGAGTCATTTTGGACCACTCCTCTTCACAAAACTGTTTCAGTGTAGCAATATTCTGGGATGTCTGGTGTGAATCGCTCTCTTAAGGTCATGCCACAGCATTTCAATCGGGTTGAGGTCAGGACACTGACTAGGCCACTCCAGAAGGCGTATTCTGTGCTGTTGCAGCCATTGTTTTGTTGAATTACTTGTATGCTTTGGGTCATTGTCCTGTTCCATCACCCATCCTCTGCGAAGCTTCAGTAGGCGGACAGATGGTTGTA